ACATCATTTTAACATAGAAATCTTGAACCACCATGTAACCGATTTGAGAGATAAATTTGATAAAGTAGGAAAAACGCAGTTTACAGATGTGATAGTCCAAAAATTTGACGACATAAACCTCTCACTAGGAACTATTTTACAAACCAAGAGACAGAAACGCTGGGACGCAGTAGGAAAAGTTTGGAAATTTATTGCCGGATCCCCCGACGCACATGATTTAAAGTTAATCAATTCAACCATTAACAATCTCGTAGCAAATAACAATATACAAGTAAAGATTAACCGAGAAATGGCATTACAGTTAGAAGAGACAGTATTTAAAACAAAAGATGCTATTCCACTGTTCAATTCAAAAACTTCGGAACTATATTTCATAAATATTCTTTTCAACCTTAAGGAATTAAATGATAAAATAAACAACATTATTGATACTATAGCCTCAGCAAAAGTAGGATTATTAAAGGAAAAAATTCTATCAAAAAATGAAATTGAAATGTTTAGGAGAGAAAATATTACAGTTCACTCAAATTCCGAAGTCGTAACCTATGCCAAGACAGCAATCGCCACCAACCGCAAGAAGATCGTATTATTCATCAAGATGCAGAAGTTAGACCCCAGAATTTTTCGTAGAATCTATGTTTTCCCAACATTCCACAACCAACAACAAATCCACACCACAGAGAGATCTTTCATGATCCATCCGACACAGAAATTTATCGTCAAGAACCTAGAACCCATCATTTATCGAATTGAGGACATTGAAGTAACCGAGTCTACATGCATACCAAACCTAATAGATGCGAAACCAGCCATTTGCAACTATTCATCAAATCCCATACAGCAGGAGATTGTTCCCATCGATAAGTATTATTTACTGGTGAATTCAATTCAATGAGCAATTTCACCCTATCATCAGATTGCAGCACCAATGAAAGAATTCTCACTGGATCATATCTGATTCGATACGAGAATTGCACCACACGAATCAACAACATTTCGTATGCCGGCAGAACTCGAACCACGGCTGGAAACCCGGTCCACCTTCATCTGGACGGAATAGCTATTTCCAAGGACAGTCATATATTGAACCTTATTATGGAACATCTCCACAAACTGCAAACAGAAACACGGAAAGATTTGGACTTACTCCGTTTAAAAAGCTACAGTCTGCATTTCCCACACTGGTTCCTTTTTGGAGGGATAACCATCCTCCCCATGATCGGTATCATTATTTTCCTCAGCATTTTCTCCCGCAGAACAACAAATATCAAACTAGAGACGATGCCAAACACCAACGATCATCGTGGAAAATCGGAACCTGGAAAAAAAAACGTCGGAAACCTAAGTACATCTTCATTTGGATATACGATGCCCCTGGAGGTTCATCACTAAGGAGGGGCGAGTTAACGCCGGTGCCAACCGCAATTGGCAAATTCCATCGTCGGTGCTTTCGTCAGCATCTAGGACGGATGCACAGAACGGCAACAGCAGCGAGCTTCATCAGCATTCCGCAATCGGGCGATCGATTGGACTCCGGATTTGCATAGTGGACACTTTTCGCGAGTGCTAGGTTCTCTGTAGGAATTATTGATTGAATAAAGTAGTTTTTAGGTAGCAGCAGTAGTGAGTAGATATTTTTTTTAAAATAACCTCCGACGCTCAAAACTTTAACTCGCGCAGCGAAACGAACCGACGGAGAATCGCAATTGCTGTGATCAAAGTGATTGGTGAGGCAGAAGGAAACAAGTCAGGTCTTTCATTATCACGACGTTCTTATGCATAATATAGTGTGACGTAACGTTGGATCATGTGTAAGAACATCGTGAGAACAAAAAAGTCGACTACATTCCTTCTGCCGCACCTATAGCAACGCACACGGCTCCCGCACTGACTGTTTCTTACTTTCTCACTCTAGTCAAAATTTCCTTCGATGAGTGAGAAAACAGCACCCCGTCAATGCGAGCGAGAACGCGAGTTGCCAGATCATTGCACACAAAACCAACTTGAATTAATTCAAAACAAAAATACTAGCGAACCTGGCGGTGAGGGGCGGAAGGTGGACTAGAATTCTATTACAGAGAACCACATTATTTTAATTAATTTCTTCGGAGAAAGTCGTCTGTAACTTCGTTTGTGGTTGAACGTTAACGTTAACGAGTACTCCGTAACAACGCAATGCTGAGCATACCTTTTCGTCGTACAAACTATAGTTCGTATGGTGCTATCAAATGGATTAATGGATTTTCACTTGGCACGCGAGACGCTGCGTCAGAGATTCCGTGATATATTTTTAAGAATTAGGAATTAGGAAATAAGTTGGACTTCACGGCCTTTGCAGCTTGTTACTTCTTGACTATATTGTATTTCCTACACACAGAGAAATGATTTTTATATTCAAATGGATATATTTTTGGCTCAGGGCCTAATATATTTTTGGTATTGATTCAAATATATTATTCGGTTAGTTCAAAGAAAAATATTTTTGAATCAACAAACCGGTTGTAGAGTCAATAATCTGTTTGTTGATTCCAAAAACCATTTTGTTGATTCAAAAATATGTTTCGTTGAAATAGTGATACAATATGTTTTTTTTTTTTTTTTTTTTTTCCTTTGGTTTGTTTTTTCCGTCGATCTTGTTTTCCGTGCTGAGCACCAATGCTACCGACGTGCCAGGAAGGCAGCTCCCACACCTGGACCCTACCTATCGACCCATCAACTCATGAACCGGGGACCAACGGCTTTACTTCCCATCCGAAGGAAGGCGTGATCAGAGATGTTATGCCTCAGAACATCCCGGCGGCGCCGACAGAGATTGAACCCAGGCCTGCTGGGGTGAAAGGTAATCACGCTTACCACTACACCACCGGTGCCGTTATACAATATGTTTGAATCAATAACAAAATACATTAAGCCCTGAAACAAAAATCCATTTTTCTGCGTGTAGTATTGCTTAATCCATTATTAGGACTAAACCCAGTCTGTTGATGTAGAACCAAATAAACAAGAGAATTAGGATCCGGGGGGTCCGCTTAGGGGGGGCAACTAACCTTTAAAGTTGTAGAATAAATCTTCCTATTTAGTCTTAAACTTCAATAAGAAAACGCAAGCAGACCAATAGCATTAAGCAGATTAACAAGGAGAGGAATAGCAAGCCGTTCTATAGCAAGTAGGAGTGACTTGCAATACTAATCTAAACCCTAATAAAAATAACCATAAAAGAGAGCTTATCGACGTGTTCGGGGTATCATCCAAACCTTTTGTGAGATAGTTTACCATTCCGGGATACAGCTCGTTTATGGTATTTGTTTATTAGGGAAACCATAATTAAAGGTACCGCCTGATAATTTCAGTGCTTGATACTGAAACCGTCGATTCCATGCAATAATGCCACAAGTTTATTTTTTTTTATTTATGAGATTTTGATTGCAAATGACGGCAAATAGTAGGAAGTATGATTCCGTAGAAACCCATTTTGAAATTCGTGAAAAAATAAAAGTTATAGGTAGATAGGCCTTGCTACTTTATCAAAATAGACAAACATTAAGTAGCATCTAAGGCACTTGTTGAGTTGTCAGATTTAGTTATACTTTAGCATGTTGTTTATTCATGCAATAGGGTTTTGATATAATTTCCGTCCTACTTCCGCGCTTTACCTCTCTTTTATGAATGAGTTTAAACAAAAAATGAAATATTTATGTCAAAGATGACTTCTAAATTTATTCACCTTTCCATACGCACCGTTAGATTTGATAAAGAGTCACAAATTGTTGAGATATTGTTTAAAATCCACAACTGTTTCTTGAATCTAAATTCGTTCTACAAGTTTCAATTCCGTCCTAACGCATTAAAACGTCATTAGATTTTCTTCGTCCTACGGATAAACGTTGAAAAAGGGGATTCGCTATGAGCGCTTCTTTTGTTTTGAGAACAATGAGTGTAAATATTCACACAATGCGCTCTAACAGGATTTATGTTGTAGCTAATGAATTCATCTGAAATTCACATAACATTTATGCGATCGCATTAAATTTATGTGATTTTGCAAATGAATTTCATCGGCCTCATAATATTCATATGATTTTGTGCTGGGATTTGCTGCTATGTGATCACTGGAAAGTTATGTGAAATTCACATGGATTTCATCCATTAGATAGGTGATAAATTTTTTGAGTGTACCGCATCGGAACAAACCTATTATTGATTTGTGTACACTGAAATCATTGATGTTATTGATCTTTTCTGATCGATAAAATGGAAATGGGCGATTACGACGAAGTAGTGCTCTACCCTATGGCCACAACTCAAAAAAGTAAAGCCACTTTTTCGGGGCCTTCTGGTCTTAAAATTACTTAACAAACCTTGAAATTACAGGCCTTACTGTTGATATCCATTCCATTTTGTATGTAGTTTATTGAAACAAACAATTATCTGAATAGTAATAAAAGTAACAAATTTGTCTTGATTACAAATCCTAGCAACAGCAAGATTGCCCCGATGACAGCATTGGTGTCTAATCATTCGGGACCCTTTTCAACACTGCAACTATCCATTTGAGGAATACTTAGTAAAACAGCAAAAAAGCCCTTTTAGGGTCACACATTAAAAAAAAATATATATATATATAGAGTTAAAATTATAGATCTTGAACAATTTAAAGCATCAAACCCAAAAACTAATCCACCGATAAATGCGGTACTACGTCAAGTTTCCGTTCGGGTCCCTAGGCACAGACTCTTTTACTTTTTTGTATCATTCAATTTGAAAAAATATGATCCCAGATGATCTAGACTAAGAAACATTTTCAAGATTCTAAACTGTGACTTTTTTGATTACCGGTCATCTTGCAAGCTTGGTAGAAACCCCTCGCCATGAGAAGCAGTTTTGCTATTTCCTCTGCCTTTCTTCCTTCTGTTTTGAAATCCGACCTTTGTGCGCATGTGAAATGGAGCTTATGGTGACGCTTCTGGACAAAAAACAAACACCCATCAATTGTATACTTAACTGTTTTTATTGCTCGAGATATATCTTTGTGTGGAGAAAAAAATCATTGCATAACATAATGCTACAGTGAAATATTCCTGCTTACTGCATCTCGATCAGTGGGATTCTCTACATTACGTTGCACTGCTTTCCACCACACGAGATTGCACAGCTTTCCATGACAAACGTTGTTATCGTTGCGTTCGACGCGTCCTTAAATAAACATTAAATAAAATTGCTTCGTCATCTCTCGGGGTGGTCTCCAGATGCATGGACGGTTCTTTCTGTGTGAATTCTCATCCTTCTTTCCCCATATTAGATAGATAGATTTTCCGACACCGCGCAAAAAGGACAACTAATTCAGTGCACAAAAACTAACTTCATTGCTTTAAACATAGCAACCCTGAGCCTATTGCTACTATTGCGGTTTCGGTTCGGTTTTTCGCTTTTCCTCGTTGTTTATCAGTTGTTGCGCCCTACGCCAGCCAGAGAGTTCGATGAAAATTATCCTAAGCATCTCTAAAGTTACATGATTTTGTTTATGTGTGGGTATGAGTTTGTCATAAGAAAAAAAAAACTGGTCTTATTAATGCTTTGTTGTTCACTTAACGTATTCTTACACGGTACAAGATACAGAGATGTAGTGGATTTTGTTTATTGGATTTTCCTAAAAATCGGGGAGTGATGACATGGGACACGATGAATAAGGCAGTTCCAGGAGTCGGATTTATTCCTCCTGCTCTTGCTCGGCCAGCATGGGATCATCGGTGTCCACTAGTTTGCCGGACACTTCATCCTGAAATTAGATTCAAAGCAGATCGATTAGTCGCTTCCAGTTTCCAACATAGCCGAATCACACTTTCAAGCGGACAACATGGCGACGATTGAAAAGTTTGAATTTCAATGGTAGATGTTTATTTGCAAAACTAAACGCAATTTGTCGATTTGTTAGAAGCAATTCCCTATATAGAAGTTGTACGATTCTTCCTGAAAGCATATATTTTTCTTTTTTTTTTGTAGTTAATAGCATATTCCGTTTTGGCTCTTTTCACACCTCTTCGGCAATCTCCACGTCCTCCGTCTCTTCCTGTTGTTGGTCGTTCTCTTCTTCGGCGTCCTCTCGTTTGCCCATAGCGGCAGCCGCTTCTAGAAGTTCCCTCTGCTCGGCCTCATCGTCCTCGGCTGGCTCTTCGCTAAAAATTGCCTTTGAAATGTTTCGAATATTACGTAATTACGAGTGCGGCTCTTTTATTTTTCTGTGACGCTATATATTGTATTACTGTCTACAGTGCAAGCGGTCAAAAATACACATATCAGCGTGTAATAATATTACCAGTAGAATAGAGCAGCGATTTTATTGAAAGCATTTCATACATGCCACGGCGTTCGAGATTTGTTTTGTGGCACACGCGGAAAGACGAGTTCATTTGTCTTTAGCGTGCGTTATTTTTCGCTTCTTTGAGAAAAAAAAAATGCAGAAATACACACAGAAAAAAGATAAAGTCAGCGTAAACGAACGAAAAGCCATTAAACGATAGGTAGGACTCAATGATTAGTCTAAGCATGGTACATAATATGAAAGGTAGTTTAAAGAAGAAGTAATCGAATCAGATGAAAATAAAACAAAACCAACTAATTGAAGAATGCGGAAAAGTCTGTTGAAGTAAAAGCGAAGAGAACGGAAGTGATTCATTGCAACGTAGAAGTAGAAGTACGTTCAGAACATTTATACGAGCGAAGAGTAGAAGGAAGACCATTGATACATAGTAGGAATCACTCGCACATGTTGATTCATCAGTCATTGGTTTGTGGGATTAATATTTATATATTGTAATTTTTGCGGTGAATAGACCTTTTGTGAGCCAAAATCTATCATATGACACAAAATATTACAGGAGACCTCTAACATAAGCTCATTGCGGGTCACATTACGAACCCAGAACCACATTGGCTAACACCAGAACATGCTACGGGAACATGCTACGGGAAGTTGCTCAAAATTTGATTTTGTAAAAAGGGTCAGATCTCACCATATGTAGGTAGGTAGATAAATTCAGATTTATGAAGTATTTTTAACAAGTAATACTCCAATTAAAAATAAATTACACACAACATGGAAGTACTAAGAAGCGCATAATAGTGATGGATGCAAATAAAATATCCACTTAGAAATGATATCCGACTTCGGTAATTAGATGAACTCAAATGTAAGTTAATTTTCTATTTATCGTCGTTAAGGGGCTGTCCATCCATCACGATGAGAGATGAGCTACCGTACATGGTACACGCTCATAAACACTCTCAAAATAGTATGCCGCAAGTAAGTATATCACAGAGGCAACTAAAGATCCAGAAACAAAAACCGATAACGCTGAACGGCAGATTGGTTTACAGTGGTCGACCAGGGTGTGTGCTGATAAATTACAAAATTACAATTACATCATTATTTCATACATCAGTTTGAATTACGTTGATCGATATTACATTTTTTTTTTGCTGTGCACTACACCACCGGAGCCAGCAAAGTTCAACAATCCATCGTTGCTTATGCCTTTGTTGTCGTTTGGAAGCAGTTTTGCTAGGTAGGCGACGATTGTGCGTATTTCTCGCGTAACTTTTGAAAAGGGCCTAGCCTGAACAATACGTAAAGAGCAAATTGAAGCATTGAGCGTCGCGTGAAAGTGGAACTTAATGAAGGCCTAAGTACTTTTTCGTAGTTTTTAGTTTTCGGATTTGAAAGATCGTCGGTTACAGTGACCTGCTTACTGAGCAGAAAAACGCGGTCCCAGGTCCTTACGTATCGTGTATTTTGCGAAACTCGTTGTTGTTGTTGGTTCCGGGTTTGAATGGACACAAAAATTTGAGCAACGGTATTATGTGATATGAGGGGCTCGGTGGCCTTAGAGCAACCGTTTTTGCTTACTGAGCAGAACATCATGAGTCTAATCTCAGGCCCATCCACATTCAAGATTCGTCAATCGTTTTATTTGTTAATATGACTACATGGTAATAACAGCAACTCGGTGATTAAAAAGGTGCTCGTCTGCCTAGTGGCAAACGTTTTTGCTTACTGAGCAGAAGACCGTGGGTTTAGTCCCAAGCTCCTTCGCGTTATATGATCGTTAGGACATCAATTCAGCTTATCGTTTACCAAAACGAACCCTGCTGCAAACCCAACCCTCTTATCCAACAGCCCAGTGATTCCTCGTGGAAGTGCAGAGGTGTTCTCGGCTTCCATCAAAGCGAGTGTCATGTCAACACAATCCTTCCTATTCCTTTCTTGACCTGTGTTCGGGCGCGGCCGGCGCTGGTATTGCCTAATTTAAGATCACCAGTTTTTACACATTGAGGATGATTGCTAGTCCCAAGCATCGTCTATTGGTTCTCTGTGTAATTACAGCTCATCTGGCAATAACAGAGTAGCAACCGTGGGCGAACAATCAAGCTCAAGCTCAAGTTAAAGGGCTGAACACAATGACAAGAGCATAGCGGTACAGCGGCAAACGCACAATGTACTGAAATTGCGCTAACCGCTGTACCGCTGCCGCTTTGCCGCATTCCTTCCCAAGTCGATGTTATAATAAGAGTCCCATCAAGAGAAAATGTTGCGAACAAACAGCACTGGATGGGATTTATTTTTCGTCAGAGTAAATGGCAACCAGACTGTTTGCGTTAGCATCGGATGAGTTTCATTGAAAAGAGAAAATTTGGGAGACAAAAACAATTATAGAACCTGAAAAATGTTTAAACAAGTGCTTAGTATAACTTATAAATACCACAATGTACTAAATAAAGCGAAGAAAATTTTGTTTAATGTTTTTCATCTAAAATTACTAAAATATTGTCAGTAATGAATGCAATACTTGTAGTTCACTGGTTGTGGGAACAATAATGTTTATTTAATTTACTTGTTCGGCACCCCGCTTGACAGTTCGTTTGGTACTTTTGGCTTCACCCTTCGCGGGACTCTTATTATAAAATTGACTCTGTGTTGTACGTAAACAAACCACGACGAATTGTGATCACAGACGAATTGTGATCACAGACGAATTCTGATTGCAGTTTTGAGTTTGGGCGACTGATTTAATAAGCGGACTAATTTCGGATTGGGAAAACACGTAAAACACCGTAATACCAACAATCAATACGAAACTAACGATTTCAAATTGGCTCACCACTTTAGTAGCCTATTGGTCCCAAGCAAACGATTAACGTACCCTATTCTATTTGAAATTCTATTACTACACTATGTTTGTTTTGATTCGCTATGAAAGTTTGACAGATAACATCAGGGGTGTGTGGATTCATGCAGAACATGCAGGGGTGAGTGAAATAGCTTGGGACTGCTTGGGACCGTTGTTCTGGTACTGAGTGAGCCAAAAATAATAATGATTTTCTTCGGGACACAGTAGTCTTAGAGTTACCTCTATGGTAATACCACAAACGAAGTGACAGACGACTAACTGGCGAAGAAATCCATTAAAATAATGTGGTTCACTGTAATAGAATTTTCTTGGAAGCTTGTGCCATCATCCACCAGATGGGTTAGTTTTTTGTTTTGATTTGAACAAAGTTGATTTTGTGTACAATGATTCTTTGACAGTGTGCAAAGAGTGTATCATTTTGTCATTTTTTTTTATGCATTTCAGTTTTGAGTAGAGTGAAAGAGATAGAACCAAAACATTCTAATACATTTGGTGAAAATGCTAGTACAATCCAGTAGTGGTGTTGCCATGTGGTACACTGAAAAATTGAAATAGCAGGTTAGTCACCAAAGTTTTCGAGCCGCTCCGTCTGTCACTTCGTTTGTGGTAATACCAATACTCTGGTCTCTCTTCAATTGTCGAACCGTAATACCAACAATCAATACGAAACTAACGATTTTAAATTGGCTGACTACTTGACTAGCCTATTGGTCCCAAGCAAATCGACTTAAGTACCCCATTCTAGTCAAAATTCCAGTACTACACTATGTTTGTTTTGATTCGCTATGAAAGTTTGACAGATAAAATGAGGGGTTAGTGAATTTTCCTATGTTTCGAGGGGTGAATCGATTAGCTTGGGACCGAAGATAGTACCAGAGCTGAGCCAAAAAGTTGAGCTCGTTTCTTCGGGACCTTCTGGTCTTAGAGTTACCTCTATGGTAATACCAACAATCAATACGAAACTAACGATTTTAAATTGGCTCACCACTTTAGTAGCCTATTGGTCCCAAGCAAACGATTAACGTATCCCATTCAAGTCGAAATTCTAGTACTACGCAATGTTTGTTTTGATTAGCTATGAAAGTTTGACAGATAAAATGAGGGGTTATTGGCTTTTCCTATGTTTCGAGGGGTGAATCGATTAGCTTGGGACCGAAGAGAGTACCAGCAACAATTAATACGAAACTAACGATTTTAAATTGGCTCACTACTTGACTAGCCTATTGGTCCCAAGAACATTGAATAATACCCCGTTCACATTACAGCCTATATCACGTAATATAGGCTGTCTTGAAATGAACACTCATACAAAGGATTTCCAGTGAAAACTAGATGTATGAGTGCTCATTGCAAGACAGTGTATATCACGTGATATACGTTGTAATGTGAACGGGTTATAACGAAGCACATTCTAGTATAAATTCCAGTACTACACTTTGTTTGTTTTGATTCGCTGTGAAAGTTTGACAGATAAAATGAGGGGTTCGTGGATTTTCCTATGTTTCGAGGGGTGAATCGATTAGCTTGGGACCGAAGATAGTACCAGAGCTGAGCCAAAAAGTTGAGCTCGTTTCTTCGGGACCTTCTGATCTTAGAGTTACCTCTATGGTACCAGCAACAATCAATACGAAACTAACGATTTTAAATTGGCTCACCACTTTAGTAGCCTATTGGTCCCAAGCAAACGATTAACGTACCCTATTCTAGTCGAAATTCTAGTACTACGCAATGTTTGTTTTGATTCGCTATGAAAGTTTGACAGATAAAATGAGGGGTAATTGGTTTTTCCTATGTTTCGAGGGGTGATTCGACAAGCTTGGGACCGAAGATAGTACCAGAGGTGAGCCAAAAAGTTGAGCACGTTTCTTTGGGACCTACTTGTGTTAGAGTTACCTCTATGGTACCAGAGCTGAGCCAAAAAGTTGAGCACGTTATTTCGGGACCTTCTAGTCATAGAGTTACCTCTATGGTAATACCATAGAGGTAACTCTAAGACCAG